TCTGCCATTTTTTGGATTTCAAAATTTATTGTCAGTGTTGAAATTTAATTTTAGAGCCATCATAGAGATTTCGTCACAAAAAAGTACTTTTCTGATAAGGATTTGAGGAGGGGTTTTATTTTGTTTTCATAAAACCTAGGCCTCCTAGAAACCCCATCATTAAATAAAACAACCACTTTGACATTTTTACTCCCCTTTCCTCTTCATTGTTCCCACGAATTTGATGAGCATGGCCTATAGCTTTAATGAGGGATATTACGTCATTATATGATTGCTTTATGCAAAAATACATAAATCAAGAGAGAGATGGGGGATATTACGTCATTATATGATTGCTTTATGCAAAAATACATAAATCAAGAGAGAGATGGGGGATATTACGTCATTATATGATTGCTTGATGCAAAAATACATAAATCAAGAGAGAGAGGGCATGCATGCTTTGAGGAATAAGTTAGAGAGAGAGAGGGCATGTGCACTTTGTATAGATTAGAGAAAGAAGCATGTTCTTCGTGCAAAGAAGTGCCAGTGGGAGAGAGGGAATTTGTGTTTCGAGAATCAGGTTGTTCAAAAAATTAGAATGGTGACCTAAATAGCCAATCCGGAAATTCGCTCTAGATTGTGAAATAAGCTATATGGTCAAGTAAATAAAAATAAAAATAAAAATAAAATTTGAAAAACAATAAAAAAAGTAAAAAGTAAGGTCTGATCGGTTGGTTCTTGACATAACCAATTGGTTATGTCAGGGATCGGTTTGTACCTAGCAAGAACTAGCTGGTTCGTACATAATTATAGTTTACTATATAGTTTTCCAATATTTTACACAGAAATTCCTCTTTGCCGTCAATTTTTTTTTTTATTATTCTAGTTTTGCCACCGGTCTGACATTGTAAACATCATAACTATTTTTTTTCATTGTTTCTATGGTAGTTTGACACTGAAATAATAAACAGATCCAATTCTTTAATAGTACGCTATTGGAAACATCGGATCACTCTTGTGTTGACTTGATCATCGTTGATTCAATAAATGTTCATCTTATGGACATGATGATGATTAATGAATTGAAGGTTTTATCCTATGAATGCATTAAGGAAAATTGTTTCACGCAGGTTGGACCGCATTTTTACATATGTAGTCCATAAAGTGTAAAGTATCCATCATAAAGATGGATGCAAGTAGGTGTTCGATCAAAAAACAATGGAAACTAACCGTCCAAATGTTTTCTTACTAGAATTATTATTTAAATTTTTTAAAATTTATTTATTTTTCATGTTCATGATTTCCATGTTAGAGATTACATGACCTTAAAAATTAAGTCTTAAAATCCATCTAAAAAATAGATTTATTAAGAGGCCCGCATTTCTACATATGCCGGTTTAGCCACATAAAAACCAGATCCATGTATTAATGGTGTGGAAAATATAAGAATGTACACATATTCGTATGCCTATGTACACAAAACTTATCCAGATTTTATAATAAAGGAAAAGGTCAAAAGAGTGTTTGTAACCTCATACTATGGAAGTAAGATGCACCTCAAAAATCCAGTAGAAAAAAACATTATGGAAGTAAGATGCACCTAAAAAATCTAATAGAAAAAAACGTTATGATGTTGGAGAGCCTTCTAATTGATTATTTTGACATCAAGATGTACATATATAAATAAATAAATAAAGAATTTCAAGTCCAAAAAATATACATCTTGTAACAAATTATATGATCAATTTATTTTCAAATGTTTATAGATGTACTTGATATATGCCTTTTTTTTTTTTTTTATTGCGTCGACCGCACATTTTCAAACCAGACGAAATTTGGAAGTGCGTCATACTTTTACATTACAAAAAAACACCTCATGTAAACCTCACATCATAAATCAGTTTAGATATCTATAAGATGGAACCCTCATTAAATCGATGATGATCACATTGACTAATGAGAATTTTGGGTTCGATGTAGAGCTGGCTATGGGCCGGATTTGGTCGGGCTCTAGTACCCAAAGGGCAGACCCAAGTCCAACCCTGCCCTGCTCAACCCAAGCCAAAAAGGCCTTGGCCCATGCCCGACTCAAGCCTTATCTGGCAGTGCTGGGCTCGGTCGAAATCGAGTTGACTTTAGCCCATGCCTAACCATGGCCTAGCCCTCGAGCCACATTTTATGGCCCAAGCCCTAGATTTTTAGGCTCAGATGGGGCCAAGCCACCCGACCCATTGCCACTGCTAGTTCAATGTTAGGAAAATTGGACCTCTCAATTTTTTTGTTTTTTATAATTGGGTGAAGTGTCCACTTTATACAATACAAGTAAGTTGCATATCTAAATTTTATCGGAAGATGTAGCTCAGGTGTCAAAACCTTTATGATGTCTTGAAAGTTTATGTTTAATCCTAATTACAAGATTTAAATGTCCAAAAAGTGATACAGATCGAGTAGATCTATAAACATTTGAAAGTTTTAAAATAGACAAGATAACATGTTACAAGATGTACTATTTTTAGGATTTTGAAAATTTTTATTTATTTATATTCATACATCTCAAGGTTGCGATGAAAAAATTTTTAACTTCAAAACACTTTCTTTTTTTTTTCTTTGACTTTTTGAAACACTCTTATCTACCGATTTTTTAGATGCACCTTACTTTTGTAAACCTTATGTAGACTTTTTCTTTTATAATTTAAAGGGGTATATTGCTTGAGATATTGGATAGCTTTATACCCACCATGTGGGACAATAAGGCGGCCCGTTTTCAACATAAGACTGCCCCAAAAATGGATCCATCCAATATTTGAGGCATTTGACTGCCCTAGAAATAACAAAAAAAAAATTACGGCAAAACCAGAAGAAATATATATAACGAGAGACAAACTTGGGTATAGGTTATAGCATTAGACGTACATAGCTCAATCACAAACCCGACCATTGTTAGGCTTACAGCCAACCGTGAGGCGCAAATGAATGCACACAAACCTATATGCATGTAGAGAGAGAGAGGATAGGAAAGAGAGAGAGAGAGAGCCATTGTTAGGCTTAGGATCAACCTTGAGGCTAAGGGTGACAATGGACCCGTCCAAACTTGAGACCCCACAGGTAGATCTGATCTCGAGTCCAGGTATAAGTTCAGTTTTGGACTCGAAAGGTTGGGTCCAAGTCTAAAACATAGACTCGAATACTATTTAGGTCCCGATCCAACCGGACCAGACCCTAATGATATTGGTATATGTTACATGGGTATTCATACATGTTGCCAATATGAATTTCCAGTTATTACATAAAACAATAAGAAATGTAGGTATATGTTGGTATTCATAGATGTTGTGCAATACTATAAATGTTGCCAATAATATGGGTATATGATGGTAAGAAAAAAAAAATCATAATCATATGATGGCAATGGATCCGACCAAACCCAACTCAAAAAGTCAAGTCCGGATCCAAAATTTAGATCGATTTGAGTTTGGGTCCAAATCCATAATCTAGACCTAAATACTATTTGGGTCTATATCCGGATCTTGTTGGACCTGACCAGTTGCCACCCCTACCGGAGGCGAAAAGGCATGCATACATATATGCAAGGAGAGTGTGGATAAGAGAGAGAGAGAGAGGAGGGAGAGAGAAAAGTTGGTTAAATGCAAGTGGCCTTAAAGTCTCGAGCTAAGCTCTCTAGCTCTCTCTTTGTGTCGGTATACCTCATACTCTCTCTCTTCCTCTATATCCACTTCTCTTCCTCTCTCTAGTCTTTCCTATGTAATCTCACTCTCTCTCTATTTACTAGCCAGACTAACTACAAAACTTCCTCTCTATTTACTGGTCACAGTAACTATAAAACCACTGACCATCTCTCTCTCTATTTACTAGTCACTCTTAACTACAAAACTACTTAGCATCATCAGTTATCACTCCAATGCCTACAGAAGTGTCCAAAGGTCCCAAGGGTAATTTTGTCCTAAAACAAATGAGGACAAAGAGCAAAGCCTTTATTTCTCTCTCTAAACAAATTGGAATGCCACCAGCGGGAAGTATGGGTACGTCTCTCTCTCTCTCTCACAAACGGTGGGGCCATGCACGTTTCTCTCTCTAAACCAATTTGGAGCCCCATACTCTCTCTCTCTCTAGTCTCAACAGTTGAGGAGGGTCTAAAGAGGCCACAGAGCTTTCTTTCTCTCTCTAAAGGGCAATGGAACAAATCAAAGAATGCTCTCTCTCTCTCTCCTCATTATAATTGACCAAAAATGTATGGTAATCAATATCAATATAAAATTTCTCTCTCTCTCTACATAGCTAAATCAAAAGTAGATAAAAATGGTAAATACTAAATTTATATATTTAATGTATTGAAAATATTTCATCTTATATAGGCATTTATCATTTATAAGTGTAATTAACAAGATTCAGAGCATTGTTCATTTTAGGAAAAGTTTGACTTTCTCTCTCTAAAAATGTGACTCTGTCTCAAATTATGCGCCTCTCTTTATTGGGAGCCCTGTTATTAATGGAAAAATTAAAAATTGTTACTCTCTAAAAATATGACTTGCCTCTCTCTCTCTCTCTCTACTAAAATTTGTTACGCTCCGTGACTGGCCTCTCTTTTTTATTACTAATTGTGATTATCCTCTCTATATCTGGCCTCATCTCACTGATTGCGTTTCTCTCTCTAGAAAATTGTCAACCTCTTTCTCTCTTAAATTATGACGCCTCTCCATCTCTCTATTCAAAACCGGTTATTTTGGGCAACAAAAAATGTCTCTCTCTAAAATTGTGACGCCTCTCCATCTCTCTATTCAAAACCGGTTATTTTGGGCAACAAAAAATGTCTCTCTCTAAAATTGTGACTGGCCTCCCTCATCGTGATTCTCTCTCTTAAAAAATGAATGCCTTTCTCCCTCTAAAACTGTGAATTGTGACACCTTTCTCTCTCTATTCAGAGCCCAGTATTATTTAGGAAAAAAATAAAATGTGATTCTCTCTAAAATGTGTGATGCTCTTATAAATGTGACTGGCCCCTCTCTCTCTCTCTCTCTAAAGTGTGATTATCTTAAAAATGTGACTGGCCCCCCTCTCTGAAAAACATTGGGATCTTCCTCTCTCTCTGTCTCTCTTATTGTTTAGGGGAGCTTTAGGCCCATGTGTTGTTTTCTGCGCACTTCTGTCCTCCATTACTCAGGGGACTGTGTTGCCCCCAAATCTTTTATCAGACAAAGCTCGTCTCAGACATTAATGGCGGCTTCTCGTCCAATTACACTCTTCTGAGAGGTGAGACCTACGGACCCTAACTCTAAAGTCCAATACCTAGTTCCTTGATAAAAGTTCCACTGGAAAATGAACACTTTTCTTTCGTCTCATGGTGGAATATACGCGATTCATTACTCGCATCAATGGGAGCTTTAGGTTTCAGTGTGAGAGTCGTTGTTTTCGTTGCTTTGCCCTACTTATTAGTCGAGAAGCTTCGTAAATCTATGCGTTTTTGTGGTTTAGTAGTTTTATGGAGCTTGCTGTGGGGCATTAATGGTATTTACTCTTTTGAACGGTCCGGTGTTCTGAAATTGTAAAGCTAGTGTTTCGTTGGAAGGGACTATAGATCCAACCAATTCTGTAATTATGAGTGAAAACCTTGTTTTCTTGGAAGTGAAATGAAGCCCTAAGCCTGAATCTTTGTGTCTAATTGAATCATAGTGGAAACTGTAAGTCCACTTAATTTTTCTGTGTACTTTTTGAAGGCTTTATGTGAAAATCGAAAAAGCTCCCTGTTCTAGCACAAAGCTAAATTTTGAGTGGAGGACCCAAAGTTAATCTTAGTTGTAATATTCTATGAGAAAACCACTTTTAAATCAACTGAGTTTTTGTGTTTACCAGTCATAAAAATTTATTTTTTGGGACATCAACGGCTACCTGTTACAGGAGAGAATCAAATGGTGGGCTGTTAATCTGTTCTAACCTTAAATCTTCACTGAAAGAGAAGTCGAACTCCACATACTTGTAACTATTGATTTGCTGAATTGGGCAACCTTTTGTGAACCCTACTTTCTCTTTCTTTTCCATTTCCTTGGGCTATAAATCCATTGATTTTGTTTGATAGAAATTTGTTGTTTTTCTCTAGTGTCTGAATCTGTTTCTTTCAAAAAGAGAGAAGGGAAGAGAACAATGTTTTGGCAACTCAGAACTAGAAAAACACAGGGAATTAATGTAATTTGGACGCATGATTTTTTATTTATTTTTTATTTATTTTTATTTTTTTTAAGCTGCTGGGTTTGCTCGTGTTGTTCCTCTCATGAGCTCGGGTAGTGTTTCTGCTTTCTGGTGTTTGGTATGATATTTTTCTTCCCATTTGTAAAATTGGGAAGCATTTTACTTCCCTCCCCCCTCCCCCCGGTATTATGTTGAGCTATCTGAGTTACTACAAACCTGATACTTTCCTTTTTCTTTTCTTCTCTTTTTCCCTTGAATGAAATCAAGTCGACCAAGCAAAATTGGAAACTAAATTAAATGGAAGATTTTGTCAAATTCACACAATAATAATTGTATTTTTTTTCTTAGTATTTGATCTATGATGCTTGCCAATGTATTTGTTATCATTTGATATGAACTTCTTGCTTTTCTGGGTAATTGAACACCATGACAATTTTTATATTTTTAAATATCTATTGATTTTTATCTGAGATTTCATTCTGCAGTTGGTTATTTCCATTTTTACTTGGTGGGAACTCACTAGCATCTTCCTTGAGGAACTGGTTCTACTAAGTGATTTAATGCCGAACCTTTTAGGAATCGGAAGTTTAGCCCCATCTCCTAGCATAGTCTTAGTAGCAGTAGTAATAATGATAGTCATGAAGATGGAGATGATGTTGATGATGACAATAATAAAAATACCAATAAAAGAGTAACATGCTATATCAATCTTCTACTACTTGTGCTACCACCACGTGAGTATCTTGTGAATGTTTCTGTCTGAGTATACTGCATGTTTTTTCTTTGCCTTTTGGTGCAAATATTACCATTGTTGTCCCACTTAATGATGTAAAACTGTGAAACTGCTTATTCCAGTTCATGTTCTTCTGTGAGAAGATTTTCTGATTTATCATGAATTTATGATCTGTTCATAATACAGAGTTATCAGAAGAAATCAACTTTGTAATTGATTCCATGTGGATTTCTGAGTTCTCTTCTGTGGGTATTAAATTCCTTGCATATTATTTGGAGTGTTAATTTCCTGCACTCATCTCATATTTCTTTTGACTGAGACATTTCTCCTGTGAGACTTCATTCGTTGAAGTATCTGCATTGTCAGTAATGACTAAGTTTGAGTGATTTCTTGATATGATGAGTATTTTTGGGTTTTGGGTGAATATGGTGAATTTTGAATCTTGATACATCCATTTTCTGCATACAATAAAACAGTTTTGCATTTATTGCTCTAGGGTTTCATGGTTGTACATCTGACCTACGTCCATATGAAGAAATCTGTCTGCTGCTTGTGTTTTTTATTCCTCATGTTCATTTCGATTTGCATTCTCATGTGGTTTCCGTCTTGTTGTCTTTTGTTTATCTGCTATAGTTTCTTTTAAAAATACTAATTTGATGTTTGAATTCAGTTTTACAGGAGACTTCTTACACTGATGTTTGTATCTTCAAACTGAATAAATGCATGGGGATGAATAGGTGGTTGATTTTCTATTTTTGGTGTCAGGACTTTCCCTTGGTGGCATATTTGTCTTTGGAAACTCCTTCTATTTACTTGTACTAGGCATTGCTTTGTAGTATATGACATGACTTAAGTTGTAACTTGAGGATGCCATCCACAGAGTGCATGGCTGAGTTTCCTATGGATGGGTGCGGGATGGATGTTGGTCTTCTGCACATTGAACAACATATTCAAATGTAATTGTATCTCTCGCATTGCTGGCAAGGGCGTTTGAATACTTTATCAAAGGGAATATTGTAGCTTGACTTTTTGGGTAGAGAATCAAGGCTTAGTAGTCAGATCTCATGCTAGCAGCTTCTTTTGGTGGGGATTTTGTGTGGGCTGAGAAAATTAACGAGGCAGAGTGCTTTTGGAGTGTTTGTTTTGTCATGGCTTTCATATCATTTCAGCATTATATGCTCTTCTAATAAACAGCTGCTTATTGTCTTGGTGTGGTTTTGCCCGAAGATGGTCAACAATGAGACTCCTAAATGTCCTGATGGATGACAATTTGGGGGATGCATTTATGCATCCCTATGACATCAATTATCATGGCAGTCAGGATTGAGGTATCTTTGTCTTGCAGTTCATTTGAGTAAATTTCCCCAACTACAACTTGGTAGAGATCACCTTTTCTAGCCACCCCTGGGGCATATAATACTATTAAACAGGATTTTAATCTTGTATCTCAATTAGGTTCTTTTGTGTGATCATACTCATTGTGCTTTCCAATGCTCCTTTTGAGGATTTTTGGCTGCAATAGAGTATATGGGCGTGGGAGATATCTGCCGACATCGCCTGTATTAATTATTAACAATTTCTGATGTAATTCAAGAGTTGCATGCACTCATGGAAACTGATATCTCAAGTGAGCTACAGATACCCAGTATGGCATCACGGATCTGTCCGTTCTTTGCACCTGCTCTGCTGATCTCTATGGGGTATATTGACCCGGGCAAGTGGGCTGCAGCCATTGAAGGCGGTGCTCGTTTTGGATTTGATCTTGTGCTACTGCTTTTCATTTTTAACTTGATTGCTATATTATGTCAGTCTCTTGCAGCACGTATTGGCATGGTCACTGGAAGGAATCTTGCACAGGTGCTTATTTTTATCATAACTGTTATATTTTACTCTTTTTCATTAGCAGTAGTTTTGTTAAAACTTTTCCTTATTACTTCCGAGATGGTTGAGATAAGGCTAAAACAATTTCCTGCATATTAACCTCAATGATTCTTTCACTCCAAGCTAGAAAACAAGTATAGATCTCCTGTTCAATTTGTTTAATGCTATTTGAAATCACTTCCTTTTTGTAGCGATGTTGTTTAATGGTCCCACTAGGAAGTTATTAGTTCTACTTATCTTGGTACCATTAATTCTATTTTCTAACGGTAATAATGCATGTGTATGGTTCGGCAACTCCAAGTTATTAGTTCTACGTATCTAATTAGCTTATTGGGCTCAATATTAAGGAATATGTCCCGAATTCTATCTACACTAGGTATTTTGGGTTTATAAATACTTGCAACATGAAATTCCTCCTAAGCAATACTTCTAGGTATTTAACCTGATAATTTGACATGTGCTAGAGGGGTCCTTAAAGGGGCCTAATAAGGGGAAAGAAAAAAGAGGTTTTTGAAGCTTAGATTACTGAAATTAAGTAATGCCTTCAGAAGGATTCTGATGAATAAATAATATGGCCAGTCTATGGATTTACAAAGGATTATGATCATTAGATAATATGGCCAGTCTATGGATTTAAAATTTTCAATCCTTGCTGAAACTGCAGTTAAAATTTATTAAATTAACATCTAAATCAAAAAACACGTTTACTCAAAAAAACAAATTCCGTGCTGAAACTCATCTGCTATGATGCACGCATTACAGTTCACGTTGTTGGAGTGGTGCTTTGGTTTTATTGATATGTATTTCTTGTCTATATCCATTCTGTTTGAATGTCTGGCACTTGGCTACTTAATATTGAACTTTGTTATTCACCCAAAAAATAATAACTTTGTCATTTTGTACATGTTGGCATGCTTGTTGGGAAAGATCTGTGAGGAGGAGTACACCAGGCCCATGCGAATGTTTTTGGGAATTCAAGCAGAGCTGTCATTGATTTTGCAGGATTTGACTATGGTATTGTGCTTCTTAACTTAATTTATGGTTGGAAACCAGGACTATGTATTTCCCAATGAGAGTTATGAAGTGAAAGAGGTCTCTAAATTGCATGGTTAACTGCTATGTTTGGATCTAGTGTAATGCAAACGTAATGTATGTTTGCATTGACTATGTCAGATTCTGGGAATCGCACTTGGGCTTAATCTTCTGCTTGGCCTCGACCTGTTTAAATGTCTCCTCTTCACAACGATTAATGATGTTTCGTTTCCCATTATCATTGCACTACTGGTAAGATGAATTGTAGATTTTCTTTCAACACAGTCAAATCATTTGGTGGCTTTCTTGTTTGGACCTTTGTGGGTTTTCATGTTGCAGGGGAATCAAAGGGCAAAAATGCTCTGTGTATACATGGCAGGCTTCATACTATTTTTTTTTGTATATGGAGTACTCACCAGCCAGGCAGATGGTCCTTTTAGTTCAAATGGAATGGTTCCTAAGGTGAAAGCAGAAAGTTTATACACACTCATGAGTCTTCTTGGTGCTAGTATCTTGCCTCACAATTTTTATATGCACTCAACCATTGTACAGGTATGGTAATTAATGGCATTTAGTTTTAGTTTCGTTGTAATATCTATAATATCTGATCATAATATTCAGCTGTAGTTTTGTTGGCCTTTGAGATGCTGCTACATTATACCTATTATACCTCATTGTTGTAACTAATATCACACTTCAAAAAATATTCAACCCTAGTCCGTTTTGCAACCATAAGGTTTCTGTTAGTTTGCAGATCTCTTAAGATCGTTACTCATTAAACAGTAAGTTTCTGTTTGAACTTTCTAAGCTTTAGTTTGTTTGGACTTCCAGCAGGAAGAGCAGCAGTGCCGAAGATCGCCAAATATTTCACTGGGGACGGTTTGCCATTACCATTTTGTGGCAATCACAATAATTTTTAGTGGTATTTTATTGGCAAATTATGTGCTTATGAGCTCTGCAGCAACTGTCTTCCATGGTGCTGGCCTTTCAGTGCTCACTGTTCAGGATGCTTTGTTGCTAATGGATCAGGTTTTCCTCTAATCTCTTTCTCCAATGATGTTTAGCTAGTATCTTTTTTACGGCTTGTCTCTCCTAGTATTTATGGAGTACCAAAGAGAAGTCTAGGTTAGCTTGTTTGGGCTATTCAGGATAAACTTTGAGGGTTTGAACCCTTGACCTCCCTTACCCTTACAACTAAGCCAATGCCTGAGGGAATTAAAAATAAAAGTATATTGGCCCAAAGCCAGTATATATGAATTGATTAAATATCCTTTAGTGATATCGTGGCGCTATATTATTAATGCTTTTATGAGTCTTCCTTGATCCTGAAACCATATCTTTATTTATTTTTCATTTTAGAGTTTTTAAAACTAAATATTGCATCACTATACATTCACAACTGTGATTTTACATTTTTTGGTTTCCTTATCTCATCGTTTTTTCTATTTTATTTCATTCGACCTACAGCGATTTAAGAGCAAGTTCTGATTGTTATCCAATGGGTCACTAGTGACATATCTACTTATAAACTGGGTCATATCTTCATGCAGATATTCAGGAGTTCTACAGCACGTTTCACATTTTTCTTGGTCATATTTTGTGCAAGTTGGATTACAAAGTTAACATGTGACATTGGTGGAAGATCAGTGTTCCATGGTTTTTTAGGTCGTGGTCTTTGTAAACGTGTGATAATAAAAGCCTTCACTATCATCCCAGCTTTATCTTGTGTTTGGTTTTACGGGGCTGAAGGGGTGTATCAGTTTCTTATTTTTTCTCAAGTCATACTGGGTTTGCAGCTTCCATCTGCTGTGATACCCCTCTTTAGGATAGCATCTTCAAGCTCCATAATGGGTACCTACAAAATCCCTTTGTTTATTGAAATCTTCTCGTGGACCTCCTTTTTCGGGATGTTGGTTCTAAACATTTTCTTCGTTCTTGAGATGGTGTTTGGTGATAGTGACTGGATTGGTAATTTGAGGTGGAACATGGGGAGCAACGTTGCTCTACCCTATCTAATATTACTTGTTATTGGTTTCACCTCAATCAGTTTGATGCTTTGGTTGGCTGCTACTCCATTAAAGTCAGCAAATGACAGGCCTGATGCTCAAACATGGAATTTGGAGTTGCAAACTTTTCATGGATCATCAGAGAATCTGGACCAAATAATGTCAGATAAGCTCAGGAATGATCGGGATGAGAAACCCATGGATGATATGCCTCCCTCCGAAGTTGTCTCAGACAGTATTGCGAAAAGCTCAGTTGTGGATGAAAAAGCCTTCTCGGCTCAAAGCATTGTAGAGGTGGATCGATCTAGGCCATTGGATGTTAATCAAAGTCAGCCTGAGTCCTTGAAACTTGCATCCAAGGTATCACTCCAGTCAGATACGGCTTCAGTTTCAGTGCCAACAATAGAGAAGATTGATGTTGATGCTGGGTTAGAAGTTAAGGAAAAACCTATGAGTGTTGAATCCCAAGGTCCTATTCCAGTAACTGGAGAAGTTGAAGCAGATCTAGAAATAGAGAAAGATGACGATGATACAGATGTTTGGGAGCATGAGGATGCATCTGGAGGGGCTTCTGCAACTACTCCCACATCAATGCATGAGGGACCAGGGTCATTTAGGAGTTTTAGTGGCAAAAGTGAAGATGGGGGAAGTGGAAGTGGAAGCCTTTCAAGACTATCCGGCTTGGGTCGAGCGGCTAGACGACAATTTGCTGCTGTTCTTGATGACTTTTGGGGGAAGCTTTATGATTTTCACGGACAGGCAATACCAGAAGCAAAGCTCAAGAAGATTGATCAGATGTTGGCTGGGAAACCCTTTATTAATTCGGGAAAGATGGGAAATGAAGCTATTGGGCCAGAGCATTCCATGTATAGCCCCCAAGAAATAGACCGGGGTTTTGATTTCTTGCCCATGTCTATGGATTCTTCTCCAAGACAACAGTTGAACCAGAGCAATTTAGAGCATTCATCTTATGCGGCTTTGATTGGGTCTCCAACTTGGTCGTCTCAAATTCCTCCGCTTGATGCATATGGAATGAGATCCAGCTTCAGCACACTTGATAATGAGCGGCGCTACTCTAGTTTGCGCCTGCCTTCATATCAGGAGAACCGGGACTATCAGCCAGCCACCATACATGGCTGTCAGGCTGCTTCTTTTCTTAACAGAACTAGCATGAACAAGAACATGGATCCATTAGCTCCCCTTGATACAATGGCCCGAGATCCTTCTTCTTTGCTCTCTAGTTATACTGATTCTCTTGCTTATGCCATGGGGAAAAATGATTTAGGCTCAACTCATGATTCAGGCATGATAAGCATGGCAATGTCAACCCATTTACCATCTGATTCTCGACCGTACTATAATCCTCCTTCCTCCATTGTGAGCAATGACAATTCTGGGTCCAATAGCTATGCAAAGAAGTACCACAGTTTGCCAGATATATCAGGGCTCGGAGTTTCGTGTTGGAGTCAATTAGCTACTGATACTAACAACAACCCATGGAGCAACAGCATTAGCCCATCTTTATCTATCGGTGGGAGAACTACATCTTCCATACAACCACCGTATTCACACATCAGATCAAGGGCTGAGCGAGGTCCTTTGGCTTTTGATGAGCTTTCGCCCTCTAAGCTCCACAGAGAAGCATTCTCATTGCACTCAGACCAAGATACCAGTAACTCCCTTTGGTCCAGGCAGCCCTTTGACCAACTTTATGGCAGGCCTAGTGCTCCTCGGGCATTAGAGAGCCAACAAAGAGGTACTCAACATGACGTTGCATTGTACCAAGCTACTTGTGAGGCTGAGGTGCTTCAGTCCTTGAGATATTGCATAATGAAACTCCTTAGATTAGAGAGCTCAGAGTGGTTGTTCTCCCAAAGTGGTGGCTTGGATGAAGAACTTATAGACAGGGTAGCTGCAAGAGAGAGATTTATTTATGAGGCTGAGGCTCGAGAATCAAGCCGGGCATATGCTGGTGATTCAAGATATTTGTCGGCTGATCGAAGGTTTGGGTCGAGGATTGATGATTCAGGACTGGCCCAGATGCTGGTTTCCTCAGTCCCAAACTGTGGAGAGGGGTGCATTTGGACTGTGAGCCTGGTTGTGAGCTTTGGGGTGTGGTGCATACATCGTGTTTTGGAGCTTTCACTCATGGAGAGTCGGCCAGAATTATGGGGAAAGTACACTTATGTCCTCAACCGCCTCCAAGTATGTATCTACACTCCCTTGCTTGTGAATGATCCTAATCTTATGTTTATCTTTATTGGCATTTTAATGAATATCACAATCTTAAGAATTGACTAAAAAGATAAATCATTAAGTGTTAGTATCTTTTTCCTTACAAGGATTTTCCAACATACTTCTAATATTGTGATCTTTGTTAACATCACCAAATCTCTTTAGTGTAGAATATACTCACCATCTATCACAAATCAATCTGGAGTTATCATCAATATTTTTGATGTTTTTAAAGGCATGCCTGATGGGTACCTTCAGAGTCAGTGACATTGATAGGGTTTACTATTAGCCGTCAAGTCAAAGCCGCCCTTTTGTTGTGCGATGATATTCTCTCTTGAGGCCCCACCTAGAGTGTCTTTGTGATAACACTGTAACTGGGGATACTAGTTGGAATGATGGAATGGTAACTGACAAATTTATGTCAACAGGAGAAGAAGGGAAAATATCAGTAGGAAAGAGGCCCCATGAATTGCCATGATGGGAAACCCCTCAACTGCCATAATGGATATCATATGTATATAGCTTAGGTGGCAACATCATCCACAAAATACGCACTTGAGAAAACACTTAGATTACTCATGGGGATGTAAAAGAAACAAGTAACAAACACATCTAAATAACCAGTGCCCGAATATTTGAATTCTTTTACTCTTGAAATAATGTACTAGAGGTGTCTTGTCCAGAATCTATGATGATACCTGTGCCTCAAAAGGGATCAAACAATTTGAATTGTTCAATCGGAGCAAGATTCATGGACAAATTGGGGACAAGGTAAAACTGGAAAACTTGAAGTATTTGGAAGAGATTCGTTTCCATCCCAATTGTTGAAATAAAACAATCACTAGTAGTTTAAGCCAGTTGGTTATAGATCATTCGATTAAGCAGGGATCCAAGATCCAAGAAATTTTGGAAGAAGGCCCAGTACCTGTAATTGATGCTACAAAAATATATTAAATCTGCTAAATAGCTGCTGATTAGAGAAGGCAAGAGGGCACAGCATTAATTGACGAAGCTGCAACTACTGGAATTTCTCTATGCAACGACCAATAATCCAATTAGATTCGGCTGATTGTATGAAACACAAATTTTGATTTGAGCAATAGAACCACTTTCCAAGGACATGTACTTTCAAAAAGTAATATTTTGTCAAGCATAAATCATATAATTATGTGTTGAAGTTGAATCTTTTTAAAATTAGCTGACTAAGACAGAATACATGGAATGCAAGTTTAGTAATAATAGGAGTAGAAATGATGAATTAGTTAAGATTAATGGCGAAGAAGTACCTAGAAGAGATTATATTTGATATCTTGGATTGATGATCCATGAGAATAGATAGATTAAGGAAGATGCTGCGCATAGCATTAGAGCTAGGTGGACGAAGCGGAGGTGCTTCCGGTGTCTTATGTGATCGTTGTAGACCAATGAAACTTTAGGTGAAGCCTGTGTCTTATGTGATCATTGCATACTAATGAAACTTAAGGTGAATTTCTAACGACTTTTGTAAGACCAGCCATGCTTTACGGGACATAATGTTGGGCGATCAAGAAATAACATATTCGTAGAATGAGTGTAGTTGAGATGAGGATGTTGAGATTGATGAACAGCAATACAAGAAAGGATACAATTTGGAATAAACACTTTTGAAAGCACTTAGGGGTGGCTCCAATAGACGATGAGATGAGGGAAAGTAGAGGGTTTAGGTGGTCTAGTCATGTGTAACATCGACTTAAAACAACATCAGTTAGTAGGGGCGATTGGTTCAAGTGGAAGGCTCAATGAGGATGAGTGAAAGGCCCAAAGGACATAGATGGAAGAAGTGAGAAGAGATGTGGTGACTTATGGTCTAATTGAGGGCATAACCCTTGATGGAGCAGAATGGCGGAAATATTTATTTATTTTTTTGGCCTATTTAGCTAGGAAAATGAAAAGCAAAAATTGAGAAATTGAGATATTGTTTTATTTTTCTTTTTTCCAATGGGCCTATTTGGTCATTGCTTGAGATTTGGCAAATCGGCTGCTTTGTGCACATAAGGTAAAAGATTTGGTGGAAATTGGCTGATTTCCAGTCCATCTTTGTGACCAAACTGGAGAAATGTGCTCATGAAATCCAATCTAACAAGTCGATAGCTTGAATACTCTACGAAGGGGCTTATTATATACTGGTAATGTATCTTAACAGAGATTTATTATATAACGAAAATGTATATTGATGAAATTAAGTTGAATTTTCTAAAGTGTAAATCATGCAGTAAATGCTACATGTGGGCAAGAAGGGTGAAGGGCCGTAGCTTTCACCTTTATTAAACATTAAGTGCCCCTTGCTCAACTATACATGTCTTTTCCTTATTTGATAACTATTTCTAGCCATTTTTAGATGGGGTTATTTTCATTATTTGTCAGGGCAATGGAAAAAAATACAAGTCATGCCTTCCACCTTGAATGGCTGCTCTCACTTTATAGTAACTCCCATCGCTGTCCCATCCAAATGATGATGCATACCCTATCCAAAAGAAGAAAAAGAAAAGGCTAGAGAAAAAGACCAAGACCAATGTTGAGGAGTTTATGAGAGTTTCCATTCCAAAAAAATGACGTATTTTAATCCAGCAACTTTCATGGACTTTAGGCTTTTCCCGGTTATACGAGGAACAATTCGTCTCTAGTAGCCATTAATGAGTATGGCTTGTATAGATCACATGCACGTGATATGTGTGCATTCACGATTCCATGTATAGATATGTATATCTACTTGCCTATGCCTGTATATATACTTGTATATATATATTATGAATTCATGCATGCATGCATCTATGTGAATTGAAACCGTGGCTGCCACTGCATTCTGGGGAGCATAAACATTACAACATTGTTTGAAAAATCAGAGACTCAACTAGGGACTTGGGGCAAGCCAGCTCGGTGCCCTGGCAAGCCCAGAGGCGAAACATAGGTCTTTCTCTTAGTATCCCCTATAACCCAAATTTCTGTGTTTGAAAATCATCAGTCCAACTAGGGACTCACCAAGTAGGACTGATGACTCAGGCTCCTGAACTCAATAGTTCCAGCCCAACCCATGTTTTTAAACACTGCAGTACCAAACATTAAAAACAAAACAATGGAAAAAGAAGAGCATGTATATAAGTATATAATCTAAATTGTGCTTTTGCAACAGGGGATTCTCGATCCAGCTTTTTCCAAGCCCCGGCAAGTCCTTGCCCCTTGCTTTTGCCTTCAAATCCCATCGATCGCCCTTCGTAGACCAGGCCATGCAATAACTCCCAATGGGCAAGGTTCAAAGGGAAAATGCACAAGTGCTTCCATGCTGTTGGACCTTATAAAGGATGTCGAGGCAGCGGTGGCCTCAAGAAAGGGGCGGACAGGCACCGCTGCAGGAGATGTGGCTTTTCCCAAGGGCAAAGAGAACTTGGCTTCAGTGCTCAAGCGATACAAGAGAAGGTTGTCGCATAAGACTCCAGGTACTCATCATGAGGCTTTGAGGAAAGGGCTGCCACCCTCATTAGTTCCATAGGGTTCTTTTGTTGGTTGGGTGGGTTTTACCGTGTAAAATCTCTTGGTTTATGTGAACATTTATTTAAAGCTGTTGGTCTCTCAAAGTTTTCTCCTCTTTTCGCTTTCAGGGGTTTGAAGCCCCTTATGTTTGCTGTTTTGTGTTTTGTTTTGCTTCCTTTACTGTATGTGAGTGTATGAAAATGTTATGGTCCCGGCCCTCATGGAACAGGTTAAGGCACTCTGCACCGTCTAGATCAAATGTCGCTAATCAGGTTAATTTATTGTAAAAATTTGCAGTGCTCTAATCTAAGTTCACCATTAGAGAGTGTTGTATTAGGGAATAGACCATATAGATACACATGCATACATACACACATTTTACATTTATCAACTTGTTAAAATCTGTAAATATTTAGAACAACTCTTGTTCCTTGTATAGCATTACTACAAGACAAATAACTGTCTCTAGTTTCTTTCATTTACCCAGTTTAGTGGCATAAATATGCTATGAGATTGATTAGATATAGATATCATTTTAAGGCACGTCTTAGCATGCAATATGCCGTTTATGTATTCCAATTCAGCCTCGTCTTTTTTTTTTTAAGGTGGAGAAATCTAGGGGAGAATATCCAATAAGCTGTATACCTTTTGAACTCCAAATATGGTTCAAATCATATTTCAAATCAAGTAGATTTATAAACACTTGGAAATCTTAAAATGGACTGTTCAGATAACATGTTACAAGAAACAATATTTTTTAGGATTCAAAATCTATTTTTCTTTCCATGTTCATACATCTTGATGTTGATATGATCAATTAGAGGGTTTTTCAATATCAAAACAACTTTTTATGATGGATTTTTGAGGTGCACCACAATTTTACATTTTAAAGTTGCAACTTTATATAAACTGTCTTTTTTTTAAGGAAATAGTTTATATAGAGCTGAGGTTCTAAACAATCAAATTAGAGCCCACCTCAAAAGTTTCACTAGACGAGGTTGATTTGATGCTCAAATATTATCAAATTGATCATGTCGACATCAAGATGTATGGACATGAGAAATAATGGATTTCAAGTTTTGGAAATAGTGCACTCTGTAACACATTTTTTTATTGTCAAGTTTTTAGATTTTCAAGTTTTCATATATTTATCTTATCACACTATTTTTTAAGCTTTAAATTTTACAATTAAAGATAAAATTATATTTTTAAGGCTATCACAAAGATTTATAGCATTGAAACCATATTTTTCAACACTATTTGAAGGTGTGCTTTATTTTGATTGTTTAGAGCCTCGGCTCTATACGAACCGCACCTTTTTTCTAATGTGTGAACTTGTATTAAAAAAGTTATTCATGAACTAAAAATGCCCCCCTGTATACAATCCCACAAAATATAATATATTCCATATGGCCTTCATAAAAACCCAGCTACAAGGGTTACGAGGCGGCTATGGGTGTGCCATTGGCCATACATTTTGAGAAAACATTTTTTCCAATTATGCAAGCAAATGATATGCTCTCAATCATCTGACGATTAGGAGTGGTTGTGATCTCTTTGTACCAAGATAATTGGTTATAGTGTCTATTGTCTTTTTTAATATACTTATGGTCCATATCATTATAATAAAAACATGTAAAAAATGTGATAATGAGGTTTATCACCTTCCAATCAAGGGGTTGGAGGGTAATGTAAGGAGAGTGGGTCCCACAGTTCACTGTCTAGTGTGCTCTCCATCGCCATTAAACCTTTTGATCGGATGGTGACATGGTGATGACTTTCTTGGCCATGACTTAAATGGATGATAATATACTTTGCCTTATGATATAGCATCTCAATTATAATGGTGAAATTGTGAAACTACTTATGTTGGTTTGGCAACGAGCATGCCCCTAGCCATGCGCAGCTTCAGAGGCGCCGGCCTGGGACCCATCCTAGGTTGCTTGGCCCGACCCTTCCCTAGTATGGCCAAAGGGGCCCTGATGCACGCATTGCGGCTGGGTTGGGTTCGGTGATTGCGAAGAAAGAATATTAACAAAAGAGGGGGGCTGAGGGCCGGTACTCTGGCCACATTTTATGGCCCAGGCTAGCGCTTTTCAGGGCTACACCCGGATTGGGCAGGACCTTGCAGACCTTGCAGACTTAACAAAGAAAACAAAAACCCGAGCTGGCCGGACATTTCTCCTAGCCCAAGCCACACCGTCGGGCCAACTCATGTGGCCGGGATGGGCTGTCTGGCCCTTCGCACATTTTTTTTTTGCTAAAAAAGTTGTGCATGAATGATTTATATGCCAATCTACTAACTATTCATTGATCATGCATGCATATGCATGAAGCGAAAGGCCATGAAGATATGAAACAGATGGTCCGCATGCAGTCTGTGTGTGTGAAAAAGACATTAGCATAGAGGGGAGACGGAAAACTCAGTGGAGTTTGCAGAGAAACTTCCAGGAGGTTCTCCAGGTGCCTCCAGGGCGAGTTGGCCTACATCTTAGTTTAAAGAGAGATGATGATGATGACAACGACTACGGCATAAACGACAATGATGGAAGCACTCTGGTGTAGACAACGATGACATACGTCTTACTTTAGAGAGATGATGATGATGATGACGACGACTATGGCATAAATGACGATGACTGTGGAAGCACTCTTTTTTTTTTTGAACGGTGACCGCGGAAGCAATCCGGTGTAGACAATTGTGACAAAGGAAGCACTGACTTCTTAGTAATGTCCATCTTCTCCTGAGAGAGAGAGGATGAAGAAAATGACGATGATGGAAGAAGCCTAAACAGTAGCAACACACCCAAAGAGGATGCTCAAGCAGGCCACTACCTGTTTTCATGCTCTTCTTCCTAGAGAGAGAGAGAGAACATTCATAAAAAAAAAGTATGCTCAAGTAAGCCCTTTAGTTTCAAGTAAAAAGTTTATATAAGGATGCAACCTTATAATGTAGAACTACAGATGCATCTCAAAAATTCACTGGAAAAGGTAGTTTTAATGATGAAACATCCTTTGATTGATCATCTCGACATCGAGATGTATGATCATGAAAAATAAAAAGATTTTAAGTCTAAAAAATAGTGCATTTTACAATATATTATCTACACCGTCCATTTTCAAGATTTTTATAGATCTACTTGATTGTAACCATTTTTGAAATTTGAAATGTTATAATTAGATATAAAAATAGATTTTGAGATAATCCTAAAAACATTTTACATCAAAATTATATATTATGATAAAATTGGAAGATGTACCTTACCTCTACAGCTACGAATGCATCCGTATGCTAACTGCACCCTTAGTTCAATTCATCATCATCATCTTCTTCTTTGAGAGAGAGGCGAGAGAAGAACAAGAAGAAAAAGATCATTGAAGAAACCTAGCATTCATCATCTTCTTAGAGAGAGAGAGAGAGAGAGAGGATGAATTGTAGATATTGCAACAGAGATCCTAAACAACCTCCTTGAATTTTCCTCATTTTATCTTTGTAAAAATGGGGAAACCCACACATTACAGAGAGAAAGTTGGTATTTTGGAGCAAGCATTCCATTACTTCCCTCATAGGGAAATCTTTTAATAATGGCACATTAAAATGGACGTGGGGTTCTTTATTAGAAACTCCGTAATTTCCATTCCCAGATTCCTTTTTTTCTATTTCTTTTCTTCTTTCTAAACGGAATTGTTGCATATTTTCAAGAACTTACATTTATCTAACTTGTTTCTAATATGGGTGTGGTTTCTTAAACAATCCAATTAAGGAGCGTCTCTAAATTTTATCACAACATGTAATTTTGGTGTTAAAAAATCTTAGGATTATTTAAAAATCTATTTTCATATCTATTTATAAAATTTTAAACTTTAAAATTAAAATCAAATAGATCTATAAACATGTGAAAATCTTGAAAATAGACGGCCTAGATAATATGTTGCAATATGCACTATTTTGGGGACTCAAAATCTTTTTTTTTATTTTTCATTTTTTTGTTTTCCATATTCATGCATCTTGATATGGAGGTGATCAATTAGAGGGCTTTTCTACATTAAAGCAACCTCTTCTGATGGACTTTTGAGGTGCATATGTGATTCTACATTTTAAGATTGCAACCTTATGGAAACGTTTTCTTTCTCATTGTCAAAAGTCTTTTTCCAACTAATGGGAGTAGTCCACTTTTTTGCTCTATTAAAGGCCATACCCATAAGTCTCTCATTTCTAATGTACATGTATAGTAAAGTATGAAAAAGCAATATCGAATTTAATAACTTCACCGGGTTTTTTTTTTTTTCTGTAAATGAAAATTAGCCTGCATTTTTAGATGTAGATGTTCATCTTTTGGATGATCACAAATAGTATTGTAAGTTAGCATGTCGATGGTAGTTTGATAGTCGTTTTCACCTTATGGTGAGCCCTCCTTGAAATTCACCGAATTGTGTAAACTTTCAGAACTCACTTAAATAAGGTGAGCCCTCCTTGAAATTCACGGAATTATGTAAACTTTCAGAACTCACTTAAATTCTTCTTTATGCAACCTTTACCTCTCTAGGGTAGAAATGGACCCGAACTCGACCCAGGACTTGAGGAGTAGACCCATTCTAGGTCCGGGTATGGGTCCAAAAATTGGACCTAGACTTGGACTCGAAAATATAATATGGAACCCAGATTAAGAAACGAACCCGAAATCGTAAGGGGTCGTTCATTTTATTCGAATCTGGCAGGTGTCCAATTTTTGGACCCATACCCGAAAAGCACAAAATAAACGATGATCAAAGCTCCCACACATTCCCAGACTCGGATTGCCCAACGAGCTACCATCAACTCCAATGAACAATGAGGAGGTGGTAACAACTCATATTTATCAAACTACTAAAATTTAGCATTCTATCTATACTTTTGAAATCCCCACATATTATTTATTAGCTGACGAACAAGGAATCAAGAATCCTATTCTTCGCAGTCTCCTCACCAAGTACAAGGCCCTTAAAAACCTTTATGTTCCTCTCTTTCCAAGTATCCCACAAAATGACATCTCTAAAAATTTTCTGAATTTTTTTTTTCGATTTTTGTAGATTTGGAATATTGAGATAATCCCAAATATGGGTAAAATCAAACTCAACACTAATAAATTGAAGGCCCACATCTAT